TTACTACTAGTAAGGCACCTGTTACTACTAGCGTGGCACCTGTTACTTGAATATTTCCGATCCAACTGAATGCAACGGGGAAATCTCAACCTGGCACTGGAACTGCAACGCCTTCCACTCAGGCTTGGAGTGTGACTGCTGTTGCAAGACTAAAACCCCTGCTTTGCGCTGTATTTGCTGCGACTTGCGCTGTGTGGACGTCAGTATCTTGGCGTTAGGGGTGCGGGACCTTAAAGTAGAAGGACTGGACCTCTGCAGATTGCATGAGCTACTTTGGAGGTATAGTCTAAAGAGTCTAAACTTGCCTTTGAGGAAGAGCGGAAGGAACCTGTTCTTTGCGAAAGCAGTCAGATTTCGTGCGAAAAGACACATTTTTTTCGTGGCCTCATCGTTCCCGAACCACGTTCCGCGTGTCTGCTCAGGCGTTTGCTGCAAGCAACAAGACCAAAATTGCTGCTGCGTGAGTGCATGGGCAATTCCGCCAGATCACAGCGTGCCCTTCATGCTGTCCTACTGTTTCGTCCAATGCATTCCCAAACTCGGAGTTCTTCAGCGCGTGGCGGAACTGAGGAGCATGAGGCTGCCCTGAGGAATGAAACGAGATCCTCAACATCATTGGTCAAGAATTTCTGACCATCATTTTCTGGAGGGGTGACATAGACCTTTCCTGCAGAGCAAACCCATTATATAATAACACATTCATCAGATGATTTCCAGTGACTACTCCCTCCCCTGGCAGCGGACTGGCCCTGCCACCTGGAACGGGCCGTGTCTTTGCCCTGGCCATGTTTCGAAAAGTTCCAGCTCCCTTTGGCAGAAAAAGCAGCCGTGTCCTTGGATCCAGAGCTGACCCTGCAGGTGGTCCGGATGCCGTCAACAAAGAATCAGGCAACACATTTGATCGAAACAGAGCGGCACCTTGGTGCCTTTAAGTTCCAATATTGTAGAGACTCTCTGGTTACATGGCATTTGGAGAATCACTGCGATGAATGTCACAAGACGACTGGTGAGATGAGATGAGTTTGACATGTTGGATGTCCCGATCTGGGCTGCAGCTTGAAAGCTTGAGTATCTGATGTATTATATATATATATGCATGTAGCATGATCATGTAGCTATTGAAAGGTGACAAGCCTCAGCACCTGCTCCCACACAAGCAGCACTGCTAGCAGCTAGCAGCTAGCAAGTGCTGCTAGGCATACTTTCCACTTTTACCACCTGCTTTGAGGCCCAGTTTCAACAAAACAAGAGATTCACTCACCTGCACAAGAACCGCACCTGGACGTTTTCGGAGACTGCCATGCAATGGGTGCAGTCGTGGCTGCGTGTGCAGCTGAGTCCTGTCGAAGGCCCAGTCACCAGCGAACACGGTTAGAAGAAGGGTGAAGTAGGAGGAAACACAAGAAACCAAGAAAAATCAAGTCCATTCTAAGCAGCGAAAACAATCAAGTCCAAGACCTAAAGAGGACCTAAGGCCTACAAGAGAGCATTCTTGCTCTTGGTGGGGTCCAAGATGGGGGAGGACCTGATTGCTCATGATTCGGGTGATCAACCAATTGCGGAGATCTATGGAAACCCAAAGTCGATATCTTTTTGTGTGTGGTTTGGTGGCTCGTTACTTGCTCTTCGGGTGGAATGCCGCTTGGAGACCACAAACTCTGCAGCCCAAAACCGCACCTCTTCATCCACGTCTTCACCCAAATCGACGATTTGGAAGAATCGAGTGTTTTTTGTCGAGAGCAGGATTTCGCGTAGGGCGTTGTGTTTTCGCAGATTGATGTCGTCCCAATGTTTATTTTTTTCCCAAGATAGCGTCGTGTTTTAGCACCGAGATCAGCTACCATTTTCACGGAGCCACTGGCAGAGATCTTGGCATCTACTGGAGAAGGTGGAAACTATGGAAGCTTGGAGACTTGGACGAAAGAAGTGGGATTTTCAGACTGCAAATGAAATGAATAATACAGATATTGGGTTGTGTGCTCGCCTTTAGCTAACGGCTAAACTCTTGAGAGGGCGATGGAGAAGAAGAATACAGATAAAGATAGATAAATAAAGTAGTGTTTGGTAAGAGCAAGGAATCGGTTTGGGTATGTTTGGATTGAGTTCTTCTCAATTGTAAATCCAGAAGTGCGGGGGCTGGACCCAAAAGCTTGCATTTTGGGATTTGCAGCTCCACTGATCACAGAGATAATCTGCCAACCCCTTTTCTCACGAAAGAACAAGTCGGTAGTCACCGGTGTGTTGAGACATGTGGACAGCGATGTTGACGTGCTCACAGGATCAGCCCTGAAAATCCGTACGGATCCCAGGTGCGACTTCACATGGAAGGCCAGCGGCCAAACGTTGCTTGGCTGTGTGAAGGGCACGTGATATTGAGTGTGGGCCATAGAAACCAAGGCATACGGCATACGGCAAGCCACAGCAAGGCCTTTGAAGTTGGTTGATCAGTGTTGATCGAACATTTGGTCTGATAGGTGGAAGCAGATGTGAAACTCCTAACGCCTTTTCCCGTGGGATGCTGTCAGCTGTCCGAAGAGCCCAGGAGATCATTGCCAAGCAGATCAGACCCACCGTCAGCGAGGCCCACTTCTTGGATGGCCCAAAGACATCGGAAGATCGGATAAGATCGGAAGATCCAAATGAAGCAGTGATTGAAGCTACTAGTAACAAGAAGCTACTAGGGGCTCCTGGCATCGCTACTAGGAGCAAGGACGCTACTAGGGGTTCCTGGCCTTACTACTAGGAGCAAGGACGCTACTAGGAGCAAGGAGGCTACTAGGGGCTCCGACATCAAATTGACATCTCAGAAGACTGAAACATGCCAACATATATCACAATTACGTCAAAGACGTTGGACTTGGCTTTGGTTCCTGTAGCTCAGAAGTGGGCTCCCAAATCCCCAAAGGCCTTCAAGGGCCTTTGAGGGCCTTCAAACTCTTCCACAGGACAACATGTCCGAGATGCGGTTGGCCGAACACCGGCGCTTTCTGAAGGGCTTTGAAGTGGAGGCAAAAGGGGAACAGATCAGTTCTTTTTTCTCTTCGATCGGCTCACAACGAGCCCCGACCCCTGACATACTCTTGGGTGGAGATGCGGGGGTTGGCTGGAGATTGATTGATATATATTTGGAGCCCAGCCCGAAAGACCCCTGTTGCCAAGAGCCAATTTGGGGAACAGCTGCGAATACATGCCTTACTACTAATGCGATTCCGAAATCTGAGACTGCAAGCTTTTGCTGAGGTAGACTATTCAAATCCCCTCCAGGTCACAATCCCCTGATGTCCTCATACATTTCCACAACCTTAGAGGCAGACCCTTACCCTTGCCCCTTCGCGCACTTTTGGGGTGGTCGCAGTCACCGTCCTTCTGCAGGCTGCAGCCTATGCGAACCTCTCCGCCGAGCTCTTGGCTGCGGAACTGGCAGTGCCAAGTGCGCGACGGGTGATGAGGGGTTTGGTTCGGTCGAAGCGAAAGAAATGGGACCTTTGAGCAAAAAAAACATATCTGGATGACAACTGATGATCGATTTGGGATGTTTGATGTGACTTCTAGAGACAGAGGGGACTTCCGGTCACGTCTTGGTGTCAGACAGACCTGGCTGCTTGGCTTAATCCCCCATGCAGGCCTCATGAGTGCCCGCTCCAGGCTTACTTCATTTGGAGATGCCAATGCCGGAGGAGCCTCAATGGTCTCTGACCCTGCATTTGGAGGACCCTGCGGTCAAGTTTGCAAAGGAGTGCTGAGGACGAGAGAGGGCGAGAGAGGACGAAGCGGACGAAGACGAAGAACGCATTCGCCGCGAGACTCCACGTCACGATGTGGAAAGAGGATCCAACAGGATCCACTGCAGATGACCAACCAGGGTTATGTCATGTCATGTCTCACCGGATTGGGGGGATTTTGTGTGGGAGTATGGTGTGAGTGTTTGACCTGCAGCTTAGCAGTACCGTACCATGGCTTCCTGCAAGCCTCTTCAACCAACAAAGGGGAAGTGAGACAAGGTTCACGGTCTTTAGCCCTTTCTTATTCACCGGAAGGATCTCAGCCAGCGCTTCCCTCGCGGTGCCAATGGCCAAGTCCGACGTATGAGTTCAGAGGAGACGCGCGCTGCGTTGAGCAGCGGGGTACGGTTGTTGATGCCTCCAACCCAATAGCAGTGGTCTCCAACTATATGATTGTGTGTTCAATTTTCATTTTTTGGCAAGCCTCTGGCGATTAATGGCAAATGGATGCAAATGGTGTCTTATGAGTCTTATTGGTAGCGGAAACTGTTTTCTTCCCGTGAATAGACTTCTCTTGAGTCTTTGGTGATTTTCAAACTCCTTTGCATGTGAAGATGCGCATACATGCGAACTGACGAACATGGATCTCGACCAGGTGGCTGGCCGGTTTTCATGCCCTATTCTGGGAGAGCCTTGCCCATGCACTTCTTTCTTCAAACCAGCGGCTCTTGATATCCGATGAAGTGAACATCTTTAGCTACTCGTACTCGTACCGTATATTATTGAGGATGCGGATCCACGAGACTCTGTTCGAATAGTTGCGACAACACAGGGTTCTTGCTCAAGGGCTTACTGTATAATCACGGAATTCCTTCAGCCAGAAATGTCCTTGTTTGGGCTTTTTAGTACTGTGAAGACAGTGATTTTGAGGGCATCATGACCAAGCACCAACCAGACTGGTCCAGAAGTTCGGCTACCAACCCACCAACTGACCAACCCAGGCAAGCAAGCAACCAAGAAACTGAGCAAGCAACTCAATCCTTCGACCCTGCCTCCCTGCCCTTCCTGCCCTTCTTGCCTTCCTCCCTCCCTTCTTTTGCAGGCTGATCAAAGAACAGGTCCAGATCCAGGTTAGTCTGCGATTTTGATACCCCCTCCAGACTCTTTGCATTGAGGCGCCCAAAGGCGGCGCAGCGGGGGTTGTGGCCACGAGGCAGCTATTGGATTTTGGATCACTTGGGAAAGCAGCTCGGATCAAAGGGTCTTTCAGGCCGGCCTTTCGTCAAAGCAGAGCTAGTGACTAGTGATGAAGTGTTCGTGGTGGTGGGTAAAGCCTGGGCAACCCCCCCCGCTCTTCTTTTGTCAGACACCCCTAGAAACACCGCAGAGGATTTTTGTGGCTTGATTTGCTTATGAAAAATACTATAAATTCTGATTACAACACATTCTGCTTCTGTTTTGGGAACAGGTTTGGCAGGTCGAGTTTGGTGTTTGACCTGGCACCAAGCAAACGGTCAGGTTGCAATTAGCAGCGCTCCCGGAGGGCTTTAGCAACCGCTACTTGAGCTCCACGGAAGTGGCGCAAGTGCGGCAGATGGCACCACTGTGGGATGCGCGCTTGGACACTAGGCCTAAGTGATCCAGCAATGCAGGGGAATCCAATGGAATCTAGGAACCTTGGCACAATATGGGTTTGGTTTCCTTTTCCATAGAGGTTGGAGCTTTATTCTTTTTGGGTTGAACAACATTCGATTTTCACGGTTCTTGGACCACTTGGGTCTCCAAGCTTGCTACTTTTTGCTACTTTCTGTTTGGACATGCAGATAGCACCTGATGCTGCAGCTGAATGTGACATCTCATTGTTGGGCATGCTGTGAGAATTTGATTCTTTTACCAAGGGCTCCGCATTTTATTAGGGGCAAACGAATTGGCTTTGCTGTGCCTGAGAAGATGTTGGACACCACTTGTCATACACTCAGTGTTTGTACAAGTGCGGCAAGTTCTCCAGTATTTGCTCCGGGCGACCAACTTTCATGTGCAACTTTCATACACATCCCCCACAATTCCCATGTAACCGTAAACTGGTCAGGCCTTTCAGCATCCTTTGGTAAACCCTCATGCCCCATTCCACCATCCCAGGGTGGTGAACTCAATGAGAGCCTGTCTGAAGGATCCCGCTTTCGGACCTTGGCAGAATCCTCAGGATTGCGGACGCCGCAAGTCTGTTGTCTAAGATGTTCGGCTACTCCTATGTACTCAGGGTGTTGGGTTACTGGAGACGGACTCTGAAAGTTTGATCCACTACAGATGACATTTTGGCAAGCCGCATGTGTTGAATGCATCCTTTTTGACTGTGGCAAGAATTCAAGGAGAGTGCCACCGATGAGACTGAGCATCCTCATACCAGGAGTTTTTAACCGTAGCTCACGCGAAACTATATAAACGCTTTTAAGTATGTCCGAAGCTAGTGAGGGTTGTTGCAAAATGGCCTAAGGGCACAAATCAAAAGAGCACATCCAGATCTCCTATGCTTTTTGACGTAGAAAGAGTGGTCCCGCTGGTTGTGTGGTGTTTCAACGACCTCATATGAGTGGCCCCCTGCTGCATGCAGTTGCAGCAGTTGCAGGTGCATGGAGATGCGAAGCCTGAGAATATACTTTGCAATGCCAGCTCTGGGCATGTGGAGTGTGCAGCTCTGGACTTTGGCTGGGTTGGGGAAGGCCAGCTTTGTGGAGAGTTTTCTGCATTCCTTGGTAGTGTGGCCAGCTGGCTGAAAGGACTAAGGATAGGGAGAAATCGTGCCAAAAGCAGAATCGGGAAGTGTGCTGTTTATGGATTGAATGACATGGCCCACTGCGGATGCTCGGTAAACCGCTGCACGAAAGCATTCCGCCGGTCGCTTTTGCAGGCTATGGCGCCTGCGACGTGGCCTACCTTTTGTGGGACCAGATCGCCAGCAATGTAGTGCAGGACTCAAGGGCGTGGAAGCAGGAATTGTTTCCCAGATTCAGCGTTAGATTTCACCTCCAATTGCTGTAAGAAATCCTGAGATACCAGAGAGTCACAGGAGCTTGCAAAGATGTCCTTTTACAATTGAATCTACTTCTTGAACATCAATCTGTACATATTCTCCGGTGGGATGCGCCCGAATCCGCTGCCCGATCTTGCGATTGACTGTGCTCTTGAAACTTGAAACATGCTGTGCTCTTGGAATTTGTCCTCCAGAACGTGAAACAAGAAGACAGGTCTGTATCTCTTTGTCCGTAGGGGCTGGTAGGCTCTGCCACCCAGGTTGATTTATTCATTTTACTAGTAGCGATGCACCTTGTTACTAGTAGCTTCTTGTTACTAGTAGTAATGCACTTAGCTACTAGTAGCTTCTTGCTACTAGTAGCGATGCACCTTGTTATATAACTCCTTGAGTTGTGCTCCCAGGATCTTCTAAGCTATTACTACTCGAAGCTCTTAGAGAAGCTGCCGGAAGCCAGCTACACTCGTGAGAAGCTACAAGAGCACTTTGACCTCTGTGTGATGGACTTCATACGATCCTCGACAGAAAGATGGGTCAATCCTCAATAAGGAGAGGGCATCAAACGAAAAAGAAAGAGACGAACCCAGAAATGTAAGGCCCCCTTTAACGTTGCCGTACGTTGCCTCTTGTTTCTTGTATATGTTTTGGCCATTGATCCGAAAAGATTGCGGGAAGCAAACTTATCCACTTCCCACTTCTCTCCCGCAGTATATGCGTCAGATTTCATCCTTTGAACTCTTCTTGCACCCAAGCCATTCACGACCAGATGTGTCACTTCCCCCACCATCGGTGGTGTAACCTTGTCCACACCTTCCATGCGATACTGCCGATGAGTTGAGGGGTGCCGGAATGACCCACATGACAAGGATGGGAACTTGGCTTTCAAGGAAGTCGCCATTTCTGGGCCATGTACCTCGAGCTGCAAATGATACTGCAAAACATTTGGAGGAACGGGCCAAGAGGGCAGTAGAAAACTACTGATGAGCCTTCCACGTTGTTTCTTCAAACTTGGGCTCACATGGCTCACATACGAGGCCTTGTAACTTCCTGAATGGAAGTATATCCCTTGTGCTCGACCGACTTACTCTTTGGGTCAAGAAACAGCTAGATGGTCGTTTGCAGGGCCTGTACCTAGTAGTAACAAGTGCATCGCTAATAGTAACAAGTGCCTTACTAGTAGTAACAAGAAGCTAGTAGAAACAATAAGCTAATAGCTTCTTGTTCCTAGTAGTAAGGCACCTGTTACTAGAAGCGATGCACTTGTTCCTAATAGCTTCTTGTTCCTAGCAGTAAGGCAGAGTCTCCCCAGACGACCTCAAGAGACTCCACCGAGGCCTTGGGCCATCGAAACGCTGCGGCGGACCCTGCGTGGGTCGAAATGGCGCGAGGGGGCAACGGGTGGGACGAGAGGTCCGAGGCGGGGAAGCCTGGGGAAGCCTGCGATTCCGCATTTGCAACTGTAGTGGGGCAAAACGGTGGATTTGTATGTGACAGACATATAAATTGCATTAAATTACAATATCAATATCAATAATTATTAATGCATATGTCACATGTCAGCGCCTTGTTCCTTGAGGCCTCGGAGGGTAGGTGCATGTATGGCGGGTGCAAGCTGTTCATGTTTTCAGCCTCAGGTGACTCAGGTGCAAGGCATTCAGAGATGACGTGGGGGTTAAAGCTTGAGCAATCCCAACGCGAGGTTTGACACGGAGGGCCTGAAAGACATTGTTGTAATCTCAGGCATGCTTGCATAATGGTCTCCAAAAGAACCGCTGGCAGAGAGATCCGGTGCATTTTCGATCACAGCGGGTAGCAAGCACCATGACAATTTTGCAAAGGTCAAACGATGCTAATGCGTCAAAATCGTTTCTTACGTTTGGGGGGTGTTTTTGTTGACCCCTGCAAAGCAGCGGAGATTCCATCGATGTCGGCAGAGAAGAAGCGTCGCTTGGATGCGCTGCTGCCGGTCTTTGAAGAGTTGGAGGTGTGCGAAGCGATCTGGTGCTGAGAGCTGATCAGTTGGAACCAACAGATGTGCCAAAAACTGCAGTCGTCCAGATCTTGTCCAAAAAAAGGGTTCACTCGGTGAGAACAATGAAACATCAGATGCGCTGCTTAACTCGGCTGATTATGTCTTGCAACCGGTGCATGGTATGGAATGTGGGAAATGGGCTCGGATAAAGGAAGACTGGAAAGGTTAAGTGTCCCTAAAAATCTAGGAATCCCATGAATCGTGCGAGCGCTTCTTCAAGGAAGCTTGCCCCTCACGCAGGGGGAGCTTCCTTGAAGAAGCGCGAGCTATCCTGCGTCCATGCTAGCAGGTTAAGTAAGGTACTAGCTACCTCTCCCTAACTTAATTAAGTAGGCGCCTACTTAATTAAGTGGGGAGGAGGGGAGAGCGAGCGGGCTAAAAGAGAAAACGTTCCGAACCTCAACTCCGTCGTCCTGTACCTCAGCTCCAGGACTTGGCGCATCGGGGTCGCCAGCTTTGTCAGCGCAGAGTCGAAGCGAAGACTTGCGATGGAGCTCCACTGGAGACCTCCGGTGGGACATCGGGTGGGACCTGTGGAACTTGCCGATGGAGTCAGGGAGGATGAAGTGGAGGCTAAAAGAAGAGGATGGGTGATGTGTGGATCTGGCATGCTTTGAGTAGACTGAAGAGAGTTGTTTTTGCTTTTTCATAGGTGACCATCACCCTCCAACTGGACGGCGATGTCTCTTCGCCAACACAAGCTAAGTTTGGTGTCCACCAAGGTGCACACAGAGTGTCATGCACAGACGATGAAAGAGCCCACTTCCTTGCGCTGCAAAGGAGGAGATCTGTCACTTCGCCCAGCGCTTGCGCCTGGCAGCGCCGGCCAACTTCCCCTTGGACGCACGCACCGGGCTGCCGGCCGCGCACCACCTTCCGAAAGGCTTCACGCTGCCATGGCCCAGCTTGGAGGCGAGACCGGGCAACCGGGAGGGTTCGACCTTGGCCGTTGGTTCGGCCGAACGTTGAGCGAAACGGAGAGGTTTGAAGAAGTGGTTTGAGAAATAGAACAGGGATGGAGGGTGTGTGGGGATGTTTTGTAAATAATTTTAAAATATTTTAAATAGTTATTCTTCCTTACCAACACCAGACACAAGAACCTCCCTCAAACATCGCCTCACCTCCCACCCACCGAGGAAGAGATGCCGAAAGCCATGGCCTTGGCTTCAGGCCTGAAGCGGGTCCCGCCCCCACAGGCCCTCCTGGAACGGAGCAGCGGTGTGCCGGGCGCTGCTTGGGCAGTGCAGCTGAGGCAGGAGGGAGCGGGGGTGGCATCGGAGGGAGCGTACTCCAATCATGAAGGCTCTTACCCCAAACACAAATCAGTTGAAAAGGCAGGCCAGCGTGCAAACCTCCAGACCTTTTGGGGAACTACTTGTACAAATTGTTGTATTTGCAACAATGAGGCACACTTGAGCCAGAGAATTTGTCCCACTCTTGCGGGATCTGCGGAGACTTGCAGGCATCTAACATCTGGAATCTATCCGAGCTGCAAAGCTGATTGCCTATAGCCTATAGCCGTTGAACTTGCAGGGTATCTTCCATCACCTTGAGGTCCATTCATCACCCACCGTCCTTCGGTACCATCCGTACCAAGTAGTTGGTGTGACTCGCTTTCCAGACTCTCCCCTTCTCACCTTCTCCTTCTCCTCTTCGATTTCGACCATCCCGTTTCGACCCATTTCGTCTCCGTGACGGATCCCCGACGGCACCAGGCCCATCGCCCCGGCCAGCGCCGTGCTGTTCACCGTGGACGGCTCGCTGCCGCGCGTGGGATCCGCGAGCACCATGCGCGCGAGCGAGGCGGGCTCCGGCGGCTTCCAGCTTCTGCGGCTTCTGCGGCACCCACGTGAGACAGCCAGCCCGTGGTGTGTCAGATTTAAAATCAGGTTGATATACAGTATGATATATAGTTCTCCATAGTTCTGTACATGATGAGGACCCATCTGAAAGGGAGTGTGTACAGGCACTTGCAACCGCCATGGAATATGTTTGAGAATTTCCATCCCAACGCGACCTCCTTTGGGCCTTGGGCTTCGAACGGGCGACTCAAGCACAGGCCTTTTCGGTCCAATCAACTGGTAGCTCACGGTAGCTCAGAGATTGAAGTCCAATCATACTTCTGCGGTCAAGAGTTGCTTCCGGCAGTTTCAAAAGCGAATTCCATCCTGTGCCATCACGATGAGCTCCAATGGGCAGGGGGGCGGGGCGGAACTTTAATATGTGTATGCATATGGGACTGTTTTGCGTTGGCATGCAGCGATGCGAGGACGTGTGATGTCATCCTGTGGATCTTGTGATTTGCCATGCGGTGACGGTGATCTTGTTTGTTATCTTGTGATGTGGCGTATGCAATGACATGAATGGTGTGAGGTGGTGATTTGTGGGGTGGTGAAGTGTGAGATGGCAATGTAACAACGTGGTGCAGTGCGACGTGGTTTGTTTGTGATGAAGTGTAACTTGGTGATTTGTGATGTACAGCAGATGCATATACAACTCAACCGATCTCGTTCGGCTTCAAGCGCACACCATGCTTGGCTGTGACACAGCTGGTTATTGCGGCCCTAGTTGTCCCCTTCGCTTTCACTATTTTGGAAGCTTCTTCACCAAGCTTCGACAATAGATTATCAGAGGGCTACCTGCAACATATTTCTGTTGAACCACTAGGTCCCTAGCTTTGGATCGTCGAAGATTCTTGTCGCGGTTGTCGAAGAGGCGCCTGTGCTTTTGGCCGAGGGAGGGCAAGTCTTTGCTGTGGCTGCTGCTTGGTGGAGGGAGAGAGAGAGAGAGAGAGATATGAGAGGAGACTTTTCAATCCGTTGCTTGTGAGTCTGAAAGAACCAGGTTTGGTACTCAAATTGGAGGGGGATTGGGCCCCTGGGCTTAGAAGTGGACTTAGATGATGTGAATGAACACACCTAATTGATGGCTGCTCATGTCTTATGTTGGGTACGTGCAATAAGAATGTTGGGTACGTGTTGTCTTTTGGAACGAATTTCCTTACAAATATGTTGGCAAGAGCAAGAACAAGTTTTTCTCATTTGTGATTCCTAGGTTCACATTTGAAAATAATCTTCCCTTGGACCCTTGGAGTGATTCTGAGTGTTTCTCCTTGATTCGACCCCCAATAAATTTGTGCTTCAGGGCGGCTCGCCACTGACAAACGACCACCCATGCAGGATGGAAACATCGGGAAACGTTCAAAAACAGGTCAAAATCACCGTGATTTCCCGAGGCAGCACCTGGCAAGCATTTGTCCGATGTGGTCACCGTGAAAACGCCCATGGCAAAGGCCGGTGTTGAGTTGATGAAGTCTGGTGTGAAGAAAACTTTTCTTCATGTAGCTTGATAAAGAACCCTGCCAGACAATTTTATTTACGTGTATTTGGCACGTTGCTTGCACAAGATTTCATCAGAGGCCTTTCTCGACTGTGTTTGCACCACCATGCTAGACCTGCCCATTGAAACCGGTGTGCGGCTAATTGATACTAAGCAGTGGAGTGAGAGTACTTTTATGTTTTTGTGTCTTCTCGGTACTCTTGCACCAAATCCCCAGCCAACTGCAATCCTTGATGGGAATAGAAATCCTAACATCTTTAAGGTCTCTCATCGAGCCACCTTGTTAACTTGGCACCTGGCCAACCATTTGCTTTTCCCTTCTCTCTCTCTCTCTCAATCAATCAATTAATAAAGTTGGAGGCCATCGGTTTTAGGTTGGAGGCCATCGCTAGTAGGTTGGCCTCTCTCTCTCTCTCTTTCTTTTTCGGTGATCTGCTCATGTTTAAGACTTGGACGGAGTGGCCAATGTCAGGATCAACGGGAACCGCCCGCTGCTCCCGTCGGAGTTGCCACCAAAAAGGCACAGCATGACCGAAGGGTGACCAACATTTCAGGTTTTGCGAGGAACGCTATCCTGTTCCAATGCCCAGACGGTTCGGGACCATGCCTTGTAAGAGGCAATCAGGGGTAGAAAGGTACGAGAAGGCCAAGACGTGTGGCCATGCCACGTAGCCTTGTAGTAGCCTTCCTGCCTAAGACCTTTCTGTTTTTTTGGTTTTATCATATTGTTGAACATTAGCTATGAACCTAGCATGGGTCAACCCCATACTTCAATATCTGCAGAGTCTTGGTCTGAAGTCTGAACCCAAACCAGCATATTCAACCGGCCTTCTCTTGAAGTCTTCTTGCTACAATTGAACGTCAGCTGTGGTCTCGGGCCACGGCCCTGGTCCTAGCACTTCACGGAGCCAGGTACAGAAACGACGTTCTTCCAGCTTTCGAAGCAACTTGCTGCTCCTTGGTTGCTGACATTCATCGTATGGTGGAGGAGCACAACATGACATGTGTCGATGACGTTGACGACAGATGCCACAACAACCCACCGAGAAAGATACACTCAACAAAGACACGCACACACTCCCATTTTGGAACGTTTCTTGGCACATGTCGGCAAATTCTATATGACGGGGCTGATCGAGAGGCAGAAAGGGCCACAACATCTCCAATTCTGACACTACACACCCTTTTTCAGCGTGCTTTTAGGGTCTGCCACGAAGGCTCGGGCTACTTGTAGGTAGCATAGGCTTGTTCAAGGTGGCCGAGCCACCTTGTTCAATGGACATATTCACTTCTACTTCTATGCAAAAAGACACAAAGACTTCATCAGACAGGGCTCCCCTATCTTCGAACCTATGTGAATTGTCACGTGTAGGGCAGTTCAATCTATTTTGTTGACCTCTCCCTTGTAAGTGGGGCTGATGGGTGACTTCGGAGTGGGTCAAACAACTGTGAACTTGTATCGTTCGGCAAAGCCCTCTCCTTCTGTACTTACTTTTCTTCCTTTCTCTTCCCTTTACGCATTTCCTTTCTTTCCTCGCATTTTTTTGTCGTGAACAATTGCAAGCAATGAAGTTTTTGTGTGCTCTCATTTAATGCTCTTTCTTGAAGCTCTTCCGGGTCAAATATTTTTATTTTGTCGCCATGAGAGAGGGCGAGTTTAGAACAGGGTGGCAGGCTGGCTGCCATGGCACGGATCTCCCAGCAGAGTCTGGCGGATGCTCTCCAGGCCATCCATCAGGTTGGCGGACATGCAGCGACTGATCCGCAGTCATTGGACGAGACACTTCTGTTAGTCAGGAACCGGATTAGAATCGGTGAAACAAATGGGTCCCTGGAACAACAGAGACAAGGTCTCCTTCACTGTTTGCGTCCGCTGTGGAGTTTCGTGATGGCACTTCAGCTGCCACCAATGACAGAAGACATGCGAGCAGATTTGATTTGGAACCTGTACGCATCTAGTGTGGCCAGGACACAAATGGCCTCGGCATTTAGATTTGTCAGAGCAAACCTCCGCGGTGGCATGGCGCCCTCAGCCACAGAGCTGGCGCTTTCAGTGGCTTCAAGCGGCATGGCCACCAGCCAACACCTTTGGAGAGGAGTCGACCTGACATCCTTGCACGCTCGTCGCTGCAGTGGGCAAGTGCTGGTGGCTGAAACCGACATTCTCAGCCAGTGGCTCGAGACACCCCAGTCCCTGACTTTGATCCCGCGTTTGGAGGAGAACCTCCGTCAGCAACTCATCGCAGCTTGCACCTCCGTGACTCTTTCCATGCCAAGCGCTCAGTTGTCACTTGAAGAACTCCAACTGGATGGAGTCTACCAGGCAGGACGAATTTGGGGTTCTCTTCATGGCAGTGGCAAAATCTAAATTCAGTTTGATTCGTCTGTGGTCACCTTTGTTCCCCGGTGGAGCAACCCCGTCTGGGCGCATTGGGGTATTCCTCTCGATGGTGAGCGCCCTCAGGTCTTGAAATTGCTCCGTGATACCTAGGACAGTTACCGGTACCCTCACTCACCGATGGCCGTGTGACCATGGATTTGGAAACTTTGTCACTCACCGCCATTGTGGCGGACCAAGTCTGGGCCTGAGCTCGCAGGTTTCTCTTGCATCTTGGCAATCGCAGTGGAGCTCTCGCCAGTGGTTTCCTTCAGAGCGGGGGGTTCTTCTTTCAGCGGCCCTCGTTTGATCTTTCCAGCCCAGTGATCCTTTTTGGCGTTCAGTTGATGAGTGCATGCATTATGACCTACTTTTGTTTGACGCACTGGAACCGGGCGACCGCTACGAAATGTAGTCCTCGGAGCCTTGCAAACACACCAAACAGTGACTTGTCAGACACAGCTTCTTGGGAAGCACCTTTGCCCGATGAGTGTGAACTTGTCAGCGATGAGGAGGAGACGCCTGCAAGAGTGTCAGAAGTCCTTTTTGTCGAAGCCCAAAAATTATGATGAGTGATTGTTCACAAAGTGGAAGTGGGATTGCTGCATACGTTGAACCTCAGGATTCACTGGGGCGTTAGCTCACTGACCATGTTGGTCACAGAGCTTGAGTTCCGGCCTTGATGGCCAACCAACTATAGGAACGACTTCAGCTTTGAGGAAGGAAAACTGCTGAGATAGAGAGGTACGAGGGCCGGGAAGCAGACATGCTGTGAAGGGTGGGTATGATCGCTCTCACTCGATCAGAACAAAATTTCCAATTGCGCGCAATGAAGTTTTTGTGTGATCTCATTTAATGCTCTTGCTTGAAGCTCTTCAGGGCCCAGGCCCCCCCACCGGACAGGGGCTTGCTGCGCTTCGAGACTGACGCAGGGATTGCTGCGCACGTTAAATCTCAGGATTCACTGAGGCATTAGCTAACTGACCATGTCGGCCACAGAGCTTGAGTTCCGGCCTTGATGGCCAACCAACTATAGGAAAGACTTCTGCTTTGAGGAAGGAAAATGGTTGAGATAGAGAGGTGCGAGGGCCGGGAAGCAGACATGCTGTGAAGGGTGGGTATGGTCGCATCTCACTCGATTAGAACAAAATTTCTTTTCCTGGCTTGCTTGCTTGCTTGCTTTCATTTTTCAAAGCCAGAGCTGCGTATACGATATATATACATATTAAGCCAGTTTGCCTGAGCGGCCCAAAAGGGTTGACTCCAATGTGCATCTATCCCAATGCAGACAATGAAGAAAACCGTTGCACCATTCTTTCGTGCCGTGAGGAGCCCCATTTTATAGATCCCGATAACACCTTGCATAGATACCGGAAAACCGCTTAGGCCGCTTGTTTCGAAGCTGCGTGCAAAGAAGAAAGCGAATCACTTCTCAGGTTGGCGGAGTCTGATGAGGATTGACGGCGTCATAGGCCATGGGGCTGGGGTCAGGTTTGCCCTCCTTGGTTCCACAGACTTGGGGACTTTGGGGGAGTCTCGGGGCAACCAGAGGCATATGTGGGAGCAGCTATTATGTTCAGAGCCTTGCTGCGTGCGCTCAAGGACAAAGTTTTTGGCCTTGCCATTTTTGACATTGAGATCAACCGAACAGATTTGATTGCTAGGGGCAGCTGTTGTTGGGGCCGTTCGACGGAAGCTTTTGTTAAGCAAATGGGTTGCTGTATGACAAACAACATAATCCTTCTTCAAAAATGTGGATGTCTCGCAAGAACGCTGTCGTTCGCGTGAGTCTCGTGTCCAACCAGCTTCGGCAGGTCTTGAGCCGGCTCTCGCTTGGAGAGTGGATTTGTTGGCCGACGTCCTTCGATGTTGGCAGAAAACCTTGGACATCGCATGAAATTTCTACACTTCAAGTGCCAAACTCAACGGCATTTACTACAACATGCTGGTGATCTTCAACGCCGAGTGCTGGCCACCTATCTACGGCTTCACTCCAACGGCAGCCTTGAGATGATGGGCAAAACGAAGTGATCGCTCACAACGAAGTGACGGTGGTTGGTCGTGACTGAACTCTGTCGACTCTGTCCGAGACTGCGTCACCCGACCCTTCCGCTTGGTCCAGAGGATGAAGGGTCGCCATCCGCCAAGCACAAAGAGCTTGAGTACATTAGCAGCAGGTTCGACAAAGCTGTTTGCACTATTGCACTAGGTTATTCCAAGTCTATCAGTGTGAATCCAGTGGCAGAGTGCTTGCTTGAGAGTAAAGCGAATCATTCCGAGCATTGTTCTGGAAGGCAAGCAAGCCTGCTTGATCGCAACATGATCGCACTTTAATAGGTACAGCGTACATCAGGCTGCTAGCTAAATGCCAGCGTCAAGGGGCATAGGCGTATCGCTGCAATTGGTGTTTTGTTTTCTCTTTGTTCTCTGCTGAGGAGGGAGCACTATGGAGCACCAATCCTTGCATCCGATTATCCTATTTTGGGTATTTATGTGAGGTGAAACATCACGTGGTGCCGAGACATTCTTCAACTCGTAGCTTTTGGCTTTCAGATGTGCTTCCTCAAACATTTTGCCATCCATTGAAAACGCAACAAACCGTCCAACACACATTCAACCCACATGCTGTGCAAAGTCTTTCGATTTGTTGTGCAGCCGGCCGCTTGTGTCGATAAACTAAACGCTAAGTCGCTAAGTTGATGCACTTCCCACATCTACACAGTCAAATTTGACAAGAACTGCAAGTCAACAGCTCTTTCTCTACGTCTATCAAAACCACTTTCTCTGAACTTGTGACACTAGCTAGCCATCTCAAAGAATAACGACAGCATTCAGCTGACAAAGAGACTCATAGACTCATTTGCCAGCATGGGCTGTGGTGGTTCTTCCGAGGCGAAGATATTGGAGGTTGCACATTCGGGGGGTGAGTTTCTATTGGTTTCGGACGTGTGTTCGAGGTATTTCTTGACAAGATGCATCGAGGCATACACAGAGTGGCTGACATGACAGGTTCTCACGAATCACTCATCCTCAAACAGGCAGACCATGGTGCAAAGGGGTTTAAAGGCACCTAGTATGACCTAGTGAACTTCTAGCATCATAGTTTCAAGGTGTAAATCCTCTCGGGCGTGCCGCTGTTGTGAGGCTAAGTATGCAGCAAGCTACCAGGCCCAGCGATGCGACATGAAAAAAACTGTGGCAGACAAACCCCCTAGTAGCGTCCTTGCTCCTAGTAGCGATGCCAGGGGCCCCTAGTAGCGTCGTTGCTCCTAGTAGTACGACCAGGAGCCCGTAGTAGCTGCCTGAATCGGGAACAGCCTTTAGGAAGGAAGATTATGCTGAAAAACCTGGACTTTAGGAAGACTTTTCCGGAAGATGCAGGGACCAGCTAAGATTGAAGCCCTGCTCCAGTTCGGACTGAAAGTGTTGCATGAAAGTGCTGCATCAAAAGTGGTCCACGGGAAGCGTTTCGACAGGTTGAAAGCTTGTGACCCAGGGTAGACATGTGCAATTGACTTTCTTGTGATGGATGAAGGTGTAGCCATACAAAGAGGATCAAAGAGGTTTCGATTGGTGAGCCGCAACACTTGATGGTTTCTGAGGTTAAGCCCTGCATTTCAGTGCATTTTCTCCCAAGGGAACAGAGGGGCAGGGAAAAATGGCAGCACCATGTGTTCCGAGGGAGTCTGTGGAGGATAGAGAAGGTCTTTCTAGGGGTCCGTCTCCAACTCTGGTCCTTTCCAAGACTCAGATTGGGAGCTTCTCGCTTCACCCCAAATTCATCCTAATTGAACACCCTTCACCAGGACCAGCACCCCACTGCCACTGAGGGGCTGACCTTTCTTTTTGTTGTCATTTCTGCCGGGTTGTGGGGCCAGCCGCTTTTTGGATGACGCATCAGGCGGTGACTGGCACAGCCACACAGGCTCGGGAATCATACCAAGCTGAGGAGCTGAAACATGGTGAAACATGGTGAAACCATGTACATGAGAATATATATATATAATATTACGTATATATATATATATATTTAAAGAGATACACCCGATATGACTTGAACTCCTGAAATGACTCTTCTACTTGTTGGATAAAAGCAGGACCTACGGTCTCTACTGCTCAACCTACATGATTTTGCAGTTTCACCCACCCCGGATGATGTGGAAAGAAGGACATGCTCACTACAATGGAGTTGTTTGGTTAAAGGGAGCAATTTTCAGTGTATTTGGGCTCAGACATTGCTTGAGAAGTGCTCAGGCTGCTCCGAAAGCGCCGAAGGCAGAGCCTGCAAAAACGACTGAGCCGGAGGCAGGACTATGGCCACTGAAGGTATTGCTTCTTGATGATGGGGAGATATGGGGAGTTCTATGGGCCTGAAGGGAGTCCAGACGCATCGACAAACACAATGGTCCTTCATGTCGGGATCCTGTTTCTCAAGCCAGTGAAATCGCACAACTTGTTGGTAGGCTCTAGCATTTTTCGCTGCTGTATCGCTGGATAGTCCGAGATTGGCAGAACTGGTCATTGATGGACCAACCGCAACTGGGAGTCTCTCATGCAAGGCAGCCACGCAACAACCAGCAGCACCTCGGCAGATCGGAGATGGGTCCGAATTGGAGAAAGAGCCTCAGAGGGGCCACTTCCATGACGCAATCTTCTCATGAAGGCCAAAGAGACAACACGGTGAGGTTTTTAGAGGTGCCGTTGCCCTAATCCTGAGCACATTGAGTTGAAACAAAAGGTCCTCCACCTGCGTGGACAGCAGCCAGGACGAACAATCCCATTGATTAGGGGAGGATTATATATTTTGCTTCAAGGATGCAACCTCTTCTCTCTCAGCATCGTTTGATATTTGATACAGAAGCTCTATGGGGTCTGAATTCTGTGGAGATGCCGCGCTGCTGTCCTCATGATGCTTGCCAACTACTGCAAGAAATTGAAAGAATCCAGTGCTACAAGCAACTAGCTTTCCTTCTAGCTGAAGGCTTCTAGACTTTGAATCCAAGCTAAGAGGCAACACTCAGCACTGGTCACACTTGCAGACCCCTAAGGCGATTTGAACACCTTTCTGCTTTCCTTTTGGTTCCCGAAAGACAGGAGGTGCTTGAAAGAAATACATGTTGCAGATCAGCTCCGATGACATTGAACGCTGTTCCAAATATATCCGCCATGTGTTGTAGACATGCTCATGATGTCCTGGTGCGGCGACGTACCTGGAACTCTGAACGATGTGGGAGGTTGTGGGAAGAAGAAGTCTTCGCTTTCATTTGGCCTTGAGACTTGTGAGCTTTGCAGTGCCAAAGAAGTTTCGGAGCCAAAGACTTGTGACTTCTTTCGTGAAAAACAAAAGCACAAACAATGCACAGCCAAGTGGTGAGTGGTGAGGCTTTTTCAGTCGGATTGTGTTCTCGTACGTCGATTTCCAACGGGTATGGTGAACGTATACGGAAGTTGTGCGCCACGGGTGGCCACCCTTGCAGACCGTAACTCTCGAGTCCTTCCCAGGCGTCCTCCCAGGCCTCCACTGAGACTGGACCAACTGTTGACCAGGCCGAGAGGTCAAAGACTGTGAAGACTAAGACCGTGATGGCCTCCAACCTACTAGCGATGGCCTCCAAAACAACAGCCATTTGCTGAGGTGTTTGGATGTGTGGGCTCAGTTAAGACACCTGTTCAAAGTATCATCCGGTTTTGGAGGCACAAGATCGACTTGGCATCGCTTCTGAGTGGTTCAAGAGATGTCACCACAAAGGCAAAGGATGATCAGGATGTTTCTTCAGTTCGGCAAACCACAGCTTGCCTGTAGGAGTTTCCTAATTCGCAGATTCTAATGTAGTTTGGGAGGCAGATGGTGTCAAGTGTCAACTTGACATCAGCAGTTCTGGCCAATTCTTCCCCAAGTCCTGGGGGCACTTTGAATGAAAGGCAGAAACTGTGGAGCCCGAAGATGTTGGAGCCCAAGGGGTTGGATTCGATCTTGTTGCCGAACGTATCGGATCCGAGTGCGTCGACGAACACGAACACCAGATGTGTTTGTTCCAGCCGCAGCCAGACGAGCAAGTACTCCCTTCACCTGAAACAAAGCTAAGTCCAAAAAGGCCTTGATCTTATAGTCTTATAGGTTACATCGGGATGCCACCGTGGCGGACTGTGGCGCCGTGGCCCAACGTTCTTTGGGTCGTGGCGCCGAGGCTCCTTTGGCCTGGTGGAGTTTGAACAGCGACTGGATCCGGGACAGTCGGGGGACCTGACTTTTGTTCGGTGCCATCGACTGAGGGTTACGGTCCTTCTTCATGGTGTTCTTCAAGTATTTCAAGCACCGGAGTGTAGAATAAGGTTGAGATGTTTGTTCCTTGCAAAGCGACATCAACTGTTCACCTTCACCGGAGTGTAGAATAACTGAGCACCTTGCAAGTTAAAGCTGCAGGGGCCACCCTGCAGGCCGTACAGTTGCTTGGGAGCTGCTACGAACATGATCACCTTCCTTTGTAACTGTAACTGGACACCCGCTTAGACCGTGTAGTACCTCGTAGAAAATATCACAAGGTACATCTCAGGATCTCTTGAACCATGTTATTGCTTGGGTTTTCTTCTAAGGGGTTCACAGGGAGGAGCCTTTAGATGGAACTGAGCAGGTTCACAAGAGATCCTCGCGGCTTACAACTTCTTCTTTGAGCACATCGGCATCCGGAAGGGTTGGCGACAGCCACCCTTTAAGTGGGAAGACGTGCAGGCCTGGAAAGGAGGGAAGAAGTTCAATGTGATTTTGCAAATTTGATGTGTTGCTTTACTATTTCTTTTACATTTCTTCCTCTCTCTCTAGATTTGCTTGTGATTGGTGGTCCGGCCAAAGCAGCAACATACATCGACATGCTTCAAGAACTATTTGGTCCAACCTTGAAAAACACATTCAGACCTCTTTGCAAAAGCATTCAGTATGCCGGTATGCCAGGATGTCTCAAGGCTTGACAATTCTTTGAGACTTCAGATGTGTAGGTCTTAGTGTCAAAAAGAGATCGCTCTCAAGCCGATTGAGGCGACAGTTCCAAGCTTCGCCTTTTCCCGCACCGATCGACCTTTGACATGTGGATGCCAGGGGCCTTTCATGGCCTCAGCAGAAGTGGTGGCCGTGGTGAGTGGGGGCCCAAGTTGGGGAGAAGGGAACCAGTCGGTGCAACCAAAGATGTTGCACTGATTTCTGTGTGAACCCGTTTGCGTTTGCATCATTATATAGATTTAAGAACATCTCGCTCATCGCTAGACTGCTTATGATCCAGCTACAAACATGGAGAACTAGACCGTTTGAGCACCGCCACAGTTGCCTGGATACAAAGCTGATCAACGGACTGGACCTGACACGTGGTCATGTTTTGTTTGTTTCTTCAAGCTACCAGTGACTTTTCCTGCCCTTCAGGCTCAAGCCCTTTTAATTCCTGGCTGTGCGAGCGAAACGCTCTCATTTTTGGCCGAAGTCTCCAGGACAAACACTTTTTCAAAGCATGGCCTCTACTTCCAGGACCACTGTTGCCGCAGCCGCGGGCGCAGCCGCACTCTTCAGTGGTGCCAGTTTTGTCTCAGCGCCTGCAACCGGCAACCTTCGAGCCACTGTTGCAACGTCGACCGCATCGACACCCAGCCTGCAGGCATTTGTTTTGACTACTGTAGCTCGTGGATGATATGTTTATTACTTGCCCGCAAAATCTTTAGTTGCTTTAGGTCCCTTGCAAATGGGTGTATTGGGTGCACAGTGGAAGATGGTGGACGTGAATTCCGCAGAGTTGGCAACATGACAGTCACGAGTTGAGAATCAGAATATCATAATAGCTTCTCTTTGTCTATGGACGTCTTTGATTTTGTCTCACATCTTCCAGTGGATTGATCGGCCTTCTGGTCACAGGCACCGAGCCAAACGGCCTCTCTTGCCGTGGCCGGTGTGGCAGTTGCAGCCTTGACTGCTAGTGGCCGCAAAGCACTCAGCATCAAGCCACAGCTGGTCGCGCTCAGCGCTTTCGAGAACGAGTTGGGTGTGCAAGCACCTGTTGGGTTCCTTGCTTAGAATCTGCTTAGAATCCTCTCAAGTCCGATCATTTTGGCTAGCGTAGTCTCAAGATGTCTCAAGTCAGAAGAGAAACCTCACAGCGACATCGTCTATCACAAATGAGGTTTTGGGATCCGGCCGGCTTCACGGCGGATGGCAGTGTTGAGGACTTCAAGCGACGTCGTCAGACTGAACTGAAGCACGGCCG